ATATAGTGGGAGGAAGAAGAGGGAGGGAGGTGATATGGAGGAAACGGGGAAAGAGCTGGAGAGGGAGGGAGGGAGAGAGAGGGAGGGAAACAGATCTTTGATCATGCTGTGCTGCTTCCTCTCTCCATCTAATCAGCTTGGACTCCGTCCAACGCCCCCCTACTCTGAGGTAGAAGTGTGTGTGTGCGGCCGTGCCTTTGACTTAGTGTGTTGGAGAAAATATGTTGGGAGAACATGTCTCACAAAGACTGAGGTATGTATTTGTGTTTTTGATGGTTAAATAGACAGCACGTAATCGTGTGTGTGTGTGTGTGTGTGTGTGTGTTTTGTAACACCCGTGTCTGATCTCTTAATTGCCCTGTTTCCAGACAGACTGGATCAGTATGTACACAGCGGAGTGGACATACTGATCCGTCTGCAGTTAATGCACATTACATTGATCTGGGGTCACACTGGGTTACATTGATGGGGTCGAGTCGAACTTCTCAGCACCTCTTACCTCCCTACAAATAATTATTTTTTATTTCATGGCTTTATAAATTATCTGCGGGGGGGGTTCTCCTTTTTTTCAACTTCAAGTTTTGTTTTAAAAATGAAGTTAGAAATGTAGTACGCTGGCATGAAAAAAAGAAAAGAAAATCCATCCATCCATTATCTGTAACCGCTTATCCTGTTCACGGTCGGGATGGGGGGCCGGGGGAGGGGGGGCTGGAACCGAGCCCAGCTGGGCAAACTATGCATAGAGACAGACAACCAATCACACCTACGGGCAATTTAGAGTCATCACCTGACCCAGACTGCACGTCTTTGGACTGTGGGGAGAAAGCCGGAACAGGCTCCGTTTTATTGAAACATGCAGCACATTAATAATGCTTTGTACTCGACATACACACACTAATATTCAGCCTCGATTTGAGACTTAATACATTAATAAAAAAATCCTGTGATTAGTCTTCGTTGCTCTGTGGAACTCTGACATCTTCCTCCAAACTCAACTCCAGGCAGCAACCAGTACGTCTCAGTGCAAGATCTTTTAACTTCCTTGTCGCACAATTAACTTAAAACAGGCGTTTTTAAAGTCTGTCAGGAATCCGAAGAAGTAGTCAACAGCGTCTTCCTCTGATTTGGGGAATAATTATGCTTTCGGAACTATGGTTTCCATCATTTAGGGGCTTTGGTGGATGTAAACAGGAAGTATAGTGTTGCCATGTTGTTAGCTGGCGGCAACGACTTGAGCCATGTGTTTTTTCTGTGTATGCCCAATCAGAAGGTCCTGTTTGCGCGCTCAAATTGATGCATGCAGACGATCTGAACACAGCTCGGTCAGACTCAAACTACCCGGAAGCGCTCCAGCTCTTATTGATACTAATTGTCACAATTAGCAAACAAATCTTGACTGTGAAATAGTTGGTGTTGGGTGTGTGTGATTAGTGGTCTGATCTTATCTCACACACTCTGATGCCATCTACTGTCACATCTGGAGAAGTGGAGCTCAGCCGTCTTTCTTTCCTCTGGGTTTAAAGCAGCTTGGAAAGCTTTACTTTACAAAGTAAACCCTATTTTTTGTTTCTTTCTTTTTTACTATCAGCAGATCCCATAAAAAAGACCCAAAACGGACAAATTACATTGAAGTCGGTTAGTAAAGTGTCAGTCAATGAATTGCTGAACATTTTCACAACCAATTAATCGGTAAAGTAATTTATTCAACAAAGACACAAAATATTCTCTGGTTCCAGCCTCTCGAGTTTGAAGGTTTTTCTCTGTTTTGAATCCCTTGAATTAAACATCTTTCTTTTTGGGCTTTTGGTCGGACAAAGCGAGCAATTGGAGGACGTCACATAGGGCTTTATTATCAAACTGGGCTTCACAATTATCACAATTTTCTGATATGCGAAAGACGAAAAGATGAATCAGTTAATCATAAAGATAACACATGAATTGATCGACAGTGAAAATAATTGTTAGTTGCAGCCCCGGGTGACATTATCGCACACAGTGAACTAGAGATGATTGGATGATTAACACGATAGTCCATCGACAAGAACTTAATCATCGGGTATTCTGAAAATAGATTCTTTTTTTTTTCAGGTAAAAGGAGAAAGTCTCAGCTTCTCAAATATGTGAAGAATTGTAAATATTCTCTGATTATTATTTTTTCACTGTAAATGAATGATCTTTGTGTTTTGGGAGTGTTGGATGGACAAAACAGGACATTTGAAGACATCACCTTGGACTCAAATCAAAAAGTACTCCTAATGCAGAATCTAATATTGTCAAATGAATGTAGTGAAGTACAATATTCCCCTCTGGGTTGAAGTGGACTAGAAGTAGAACGTTGCATAAAATGGAAATACTCAAGTGACCCAGCTTGATGCATTTAAATTGTACACATTTCTTCTTCCCGGAGAGCTTGACCCCGAACCCTCCTAGAGGGTCCAAAGGCCCGCCCACCGCAGTCTCACACAAGTCCCGTGGGAAACACTGCGCGTAGTTGTATAAGTACACAAATGCATTGTGTGCATTTTCGCTAAGTGTATGACTCAATCTTCAGGGACTCAGCCTCTCCTCATAAGCATTTTTTTATCCAGTGGTCCAATGATGTGAGCACAGCCTGTAATAGCCAGGCTCTGTGCAGGAAACCAGGTCAGCTCAGGTCACATGCGGCCGGTGTTGTGGTGACTCTGGTGCCCTCTTCTGGCACTCTCTGCTCCTCGCATGGTGATATGCATGCAGCTGAGGTGGGGCAAAAAACATGTGATGTAGTTGTCGTTTTACTCGTACAGGAAGAGGTTGTTTTTTGTTTTTTTATCTAATAGTGAGTTGACACATTTTTAAAGGATTCTTCTGACACAGCCACTAAACCATGACCAGACTAATATTTTAATCTCTGGCAAGTGTCCACGGGGTTAGCAGGATAATCCGGTTATGTTATTAATAATGATTAATAACGAGGAGGAGGGCATCGTTTTCATGAATTGCATAACATTACTAATAAAAGCCTGTCTAGTAAGACCCAAAGTATTCAGCCTACTGGAGGAAGCTCGTGCTTCCTTTTAATTTGATTTGATTTAATTTCACTGATAAGGACATCGGATCATACTCATGTCAGCCAGTCCCAGTCAAGTGTCCTCCTTAGTCATGGTATTAAACAAAATGTTGATTGAGTTATTGAATTATCAATCAATTATCATTAAGTGAGTTTCCTTCCTCAACATTTAGGTGCCGTTTTAGAACATTTGAACGTCTGGAACTTGTACAAACAATGCTGTGCTTTTCACATTGTCCAGTGTTCCTGATTGTAATGACTATAAGAATGAGGTGTGTGAGTCTGATGTAGCAGGTATGATGTTTACCATGTTAGCATGCTAGCATTTGGTATTTATCACTTAACAGCTAAGGCTGATGGGAATGTGATAAGTTTTGCAGGCGGCAAACTCCGGGTCAAAAAAATGAAGCCAACGTAAAAGTGCCGTGAACTTGCATTCTCTCTAATGTCCAGCAGGGGGCAACTCCTCTGGTTGCAAAAATAAGTCTGATTGTATAGAAGTCTATGAGAAAATGACTACTTCTCTCTTGATTTATTACCTCAGTAAATATTGTAAACATGAGTTTATGATCTCGATCTCTAGTTTCAAGTCTTCTTCCACACTGCATGATGTGCTATGATTTAGGGCGGGGCCACCTTGTGATTGACAGGACGCTGCCACGGCGTTGTCCATGTTTTTGTCTTGTGTTTTCAGTTCGTGAAAGTTAGTTGTAACATTTTGGTCGCCTAAAAATGCCTTTCTTAGCGTTGGGACCAAAAACCAAGATGGCGACGGCCAAAATGCCGATTTCTAGGCTTCAAAATGGTTCACAATCCAATGGGTGACGTCATGGAACGTAGGAATAAAATGTTGGCCTGATGGAGCAGAGGATCCCGAAAAGTTGTTTTAATTCGTCTTGAGGGAGAATGTCCGTAATAAATCAGCATTCCATCCAACAGTTACTGAGACATTTTACTTCACCTCAGGTGACTACCAAAGTCACTGTCCTCTGGGGAGCACGAATGTCTGTATGAAACTTTATAGCAATCTATCCAATAGTTGTTGAGATATTTAAGTCTGGACCAAAGTTTTGGACCCATCGACTGACCTAACAACAGACATCGCCATCCCTAGAGCCTAGCTGACTAAAAGCATTTCAAAAATCCTTTAACCCACCTCGAAACCTCACTAAAAATCAACATGTTTGCATTTTTTTGTGCTCAAAAAATCTTCTTGGGAACACTTTTAGCGGTCCACACAGTGAAAAACAAGCTTAAAAGCAAGTGTATGCATTGGCTTGCGTCTGTCAGAGAATGACACTAATAAAAACACTAAATAATAAAAAATGGGGGAAAAAACCATGGAAATTGTGGAGAGCAATTTACCCCAAATTCCTTTCAGAGGACTTGTAAGTAGCTTATAGTAAATTAGATTTGCTGGAGTATGTCTCCTCTAATAGGCGCTGGATTGTAGTGGCGAACACAGGGCCTGTATTGTGAAATTAGAGCAGCCTCTGTGAAGTCCGAATCAAAATATGTAATGAGGAAATTGAGGAATGAACCGAGACAAAAGGATCTGACCTGTGGAGTGTTGTCCCTTTAAGTTGAAGATGATGTGTTCCTCACTCATTCCTCAGTCTTAAACTCATTCATGCCCTCTTTCAAAAGACTTGTAACAACTTTTGGTCATCTGAAATTGAAATGTTAAATGCATGTTTGCAGCATAGACTGTATATAAGAAGTGGACATAGTCATCGTGACGTCACCCATTGGTTTGTGGACTTTTTTACAGTCATGCATTTAGACGGCAATGCTAAAAATATTTATTTTAAAAGCACATCATTATCAATTCCAGGTCTTACTGGAAAAACTGCACGCACATCTCTATAAACACATTGTGAATTTTCTGTGAATACATGTTAATGTCACTATGTGTCTGTTTCTTACTGTGGCTTCTCTCTCTTTGCCCCTCCAGCTCGCTTATGCTTCCACTGATGTCCCGCCCACCGTGTTCCTCTCAGCCAACCGCTGCCCAGATTCTCCGATGGCTGTCTGTTGAAGGGGCCGCCGGCGAATGCTGAGCAAGCTGGCGAGGTCGAGGTCCGCCTCATTGTCCTGTGATTGGCTGCCGGACGGGACTGAGGCTACATGGAGCCAATGTCCAACAAGCAGGATAGCAACTCATCAGAGGGAGACGAGAAAGGGTGAGACTGTGTGTGTGTGTGTGTGTGTGTGTGTGTGTGTGTGTGTGTGTGTGTGTG